ACGTTCGTTGCTTGGAAAACTACCAGATATGTCTGATCTTGTGCGTCGTATGGAATATGCTAAGTTGGGCGCGATTATATTACAAGAGACCTGGTTACATAGCGAAATTAATGAAGAGGTTACTAAAATCGATGGCTTCACTGGATACCGTGACGACCGTCCGGCAACGTATCAGAAGCGTGGAGGCCTGGTGATTTATATTAACAACAATTGGTGCAAGAACGTGAAGCAAACATTTACTCATTCCAATGGTCACAAATGTGCTACCGTACTTGAATGCAAGCCAACGCACCTCAGCAACTATCGGTCAATTGTTTTAGCTAACATTTATAGTTCTTCTTGTCCTTCAGAGGAACTACGTATTTCAGATACTACTTCCATAGTTTTAATGAGTTATCTGGATTTATCGCTATGTATCGTNTTTTCATCGTGTTGATATCTTATTCTTGTCTGTTCTGGGTTTGACAAACATAGTGAGTTTCCCAACAACACTGAATGCTCATTTGGACAAGTGTTTTGTAAATAATACCAGCATTTTTTCGCATCTTCCCGTTCCCCTCTTGGGTCCTCAGACCATGTGCTTATTAGTGTCCCCAAAGGTATACAGCAAGGTCAATCACATATCTTTCACAGAATGCCATGACATAAAAAGAAAACGTCAATGTAACCAAGATAACCTAGAGAAGCTTAATGTGATGGTCTCTCAGACTGACTTCAGTGTGTTCGCCAACCCCAATCCTTCCATCTACTGTGATCACCTCACACAGTATCTAAACTTGTTACGATATATGCTGCCCCTCGGAGACGCTCCACCTTCGGTATGACCGTATGTCGTTTCCACATCTGAAGCAGTTACGTCGAAGCAAGGAAAGGGCATACAAAAGCAAAGAGCTTCAAAGAGTTAAACTCTTATCTCTTGCTATCACAGGTGAGCTACATCGACTGAACGGCATTTACACTCGTACACTCCTGCACAACAAAACCTGCCGGGAAACCTGGGACATCATCAAGAAACTGAGCAGTCAATCCTCAATCGTGTCTCAAACAGCAATAGACGTTGAGGAACTAAATAGAATGTACAACAAAAGTATCAACAACACGGGGACGGGGCCAATCATCACCAGCGTAAACATCAACCCCAGCAATGAAGAACCTTTTGCTATTCAACAACAGGATGTTCTGAAAGAGTTGCTGACACTCAAACCCAATAAATCACCCGTTCCCAATAGGTTGGAGGCTGCCATCCTTAAGGAGTGCGCCCACGCACTTTGGCCAGTGCTCACAGCTCTGTTTAACCAGTGTTTAGAAAACGGAATTATACCGGATTGTTGGAAATCTGCCTCCATCACTCCAGTGCCTAAAAGAGGAACCGCAAAATTCCATCCCATTGCATGTACGTCTGCTGTGTTGAAGCTTTTCGAGAAGTTACTCCTCCAAAGAATGTCGTCTCAGCTGAATGTGCAGGACCAAAACCAATTCGCGTACCGTCGCTCTCGCTCCACACCTCAGCTTCTCTGGTTCATCACATTCTGTCAGCACTTGATTGAAACAAGAAAGCTGTCAGAATTTGGTTTTGGATTACAGTGACGCCTTCAATTGACAGGTCTATGTTGTTAAATATTTTGTCTTCAAACGGAATATCGCAAACCATTACTGCAATACTTACTAACTATTTCACAAACCGATCACAGTTCACACGTTACCTTGGTCGTTCCTCTTCCTTAATTTTTACATTAGGCGTATTACAGGGTGCCATTCTATCCCCGTTTTTCTTTTCCACTTGTTTCATCCATGCCTAATCCACAAAATTCCCTGCTCATTTAATATGCGGACGATGTTGTGGTCGGAATCACCCACCCTAATGCATTTGTCACCCCCACCCTCCAACTTGGCCTTACTAACCTTGCTGAGTAGTCCACTGAGCATAACTCAACTCTCAATCCCTCTAAATCTGTAGACATGCTGTTCTCACTTCACAGAGGGAATCGTCATGCCAATCTCCTGGAATCCTGTCCCACGTTAAACATATACGATAATACTATTGCCCAACCCCCAAATGTCAAGTATCTTGATGTTAATTAACCGAAAGGTATGCTGGTCTGATCAAATTGTTTCTGTATTTGGAAAGGTCAGGAAACTATCATTTTATGTCTTACGACTGAAAACACTTCTTGACTAAAAGTTTTCTTTTTGCCTGTATTTTGCCACTATGGTTGTACGGTTCCCATTAATCTTTTCGGGGATGCTCAAAAAGGACTTTAAATTGCTTTCCAGATCAATAGCACATCTATCAAGAAGTAGCGGGATTTCCCGTGAAACTATCTGCAACTTCATCATTTCCCAACATACAAAGTCATGCTTTTCATTACCAACAAAAATCATGGAGAACCCTTCACATCCGTTANCACCAAGATCTTATTAAGTGTGCGTCCTCCTCCTCCTCCACCCGGTCCCGTTATAAGTGTATATTTACTCGTACGACTGCCTACCGGTGTTCTGTGGTGCCCTACCTTGCCATTTTTCTTGTCAGCCCAGAAACGCATCGTTTTGAAACTTAACTCGCTCATCTCGTAAATTGTTTTCATTTTTACTGCTCAAGATAATTATGTTATAATTTTGTTCGATAATTGTTGGTTGACTATGTGACTGCTGAATATCCACCTTTCAGGGTGCATAAAGCAAATACTTGACTTGATATACTTTGAAAATGAAATGGGAAACAGATTAGGGAACGTCCGAAGGATAAGGAGCTCAGAAATCACGAAAACCGAAAAACAGTTGGATGAGTTGTAGCGCCAGAATGTCTCTAGGTGGGTGACGGATCAGAGCTGGTAAACCCAATAGACAAACAATACAGTGACCCGACAAGCTATTATCATCATTATTATTATCGTACACTGAGATACAGTGAAGCCAACATCACTGAGCGCTGCAAGCTCACAATGTACACAAATCAAGAGATCAAGCACGCGATAGAGAGGGATTGAGCCTAATTGGAGGGAGGAAAAGAAAGTGAGCCTCTATGAGCAACATAGAGTACACAATCGAACTATGCATTCATACATTTTCATGAATTCTAACCTGATAGGAAATGACAACACGAACGCCACTGCTGTTGGTTAGCCACCATATTCTTCAGTGTCTCCAGGTCAATACTAGAAGTCAACACGTCGAAAGAGAAGATGCTGGCAACCTCCATCAAATTCAAACCCTGCAACTAACGACCAACCAATCGAATAAGACTCTTCCCTGAAGGGTCAATTATTCTAACAAACTGGTCTGGCTAAAGACAAAATCATATCGATCGTGCGGGAGGAGCAATTTTTATGTTCCGATTCAGGTAGGATGAAAAATCAGCCTCCGAAAGAAATCGCGATTTTTTCAGTTTATCATTCACCAAGCGATAACATACGGCTGTGAAACCTGACCCTTATGAGAGGATGTCAGAGGACTGGTAACTTTTGACTATGTATCTCAGAAAGATAACCAAAAAACATGCATATAAAAAATCATAAGAGGGGGTACATAGGCACTGGTTTTACATTTGATGACTGCGGTCCTTATACGACGCCACCGTACACGATGGAGACAAACTGAACCCCCAAACATACCATATACGAAGNCGGCCCGTCCACTCACGGGAGGATTGTCTTCATGTTGAAGTTAGCCATGGAGACAGGGGAAGTAATTTTATTACACACCAGTATGTGATGAACAGCAGTCGGGGCGCACGCCATAGTTACGAAGATTTGCTTTTAGCTGGCAACCTAAGCCCCTTGACTTGGAGTGACCAACCATATAACACCCCGCTAGCTCCGGCGTAATAGAGAACCGGGCGATAGCAAAGCTGCCTACCACCAAAGTCGGGTGGTGGTGGCGGGGCTCGAACCTCGGATCACCTTCAAAAGTCTCAGTATGGTCGGGGGTGGGAGTATAGGGTTGCGGCTGGTCACTCTTTCCTTGCACCTCGCGAAAGGCTCCCATACGACCAAGCGTCTCAAATAACCTCTGCTGAAGAAGCCCTACTCACTGCCTTCTCGTGGCGGTTTTTGCACCAAAGTGAGAGAACGAAAAGCCGATATCCGGGGCTATAACCGGGTTGATGAACCATTGGCAGTTCACATAGGGAAGTTGGCTAAAAACCCTGATTACAAACCAACCCAGAGGAGGCATACGAACCACAAACACCTTCCCGGTTGTGGTCACCGACTCGATTGGATATCAAGGTGTATTGGACACCTCAGACGTTCGACCCCATCCAAAGGACATATGATCCGATGAACTGGACACCGGCCCTCAATGGACTGCAGTTTTCAAACACCGCCCCGTTGCCTTTGGGGGTCAGGCTTTGGCTAGCCAAAGGCTCTGGTTGTGAATTCCACAAGAAAATTCACCTCGGTTGGCCTGGGCAACTTGGCAATATTCAGCCTAAATGCAAACCATGGAACGTCTTTTCTTCTTCTTTTTTATAAAGATTCACGTAATATGATTTGTTTAGCACAACCTGGCGTCAAACGTGTTTAAAATATAATATAAAATATATACCTCGGACCACAGGATCCAAAGCACGCCGGTGTCAGCGACTAAATCACTGCGCCACCGGTTAGCTAAAATACTTACGGGATCTGGGTGAGCAAGGGATTCATTCCTCTCACGGTATGTATAAAGCTCTCACGTGAACTTTAAATGCGATGTTAATTCTTTTGATGACCGACAAAGAGCACTAGACGGCTGTTTCGTTCTATTTGGGACTCGTCAACAGTTCTTGTATTTTGTGTCCCAGTGCCTGGTGCCAGTGAAAAAGCGAATAAGCTAATCCAAACATTCATTCTTACATAAACCCTTGTGCATAAATCTAGGTGGAATTGCTCTTAACATTCCAATCTTTATTCTGCTCTTTTATCCAAACGGGTAGCCAAAACTGGTGCAGGAAAAAGTACGGTTAATGGCTGTAAACACTGAAACTGAAAGAATGGCTTGAGATATACACTCATTGATTAAAGTGAGTTCGGATGCCGAGTGGGACCACAAATGATCCGGTTGTATTGGGAGTGTCCAGGAAACCTGTAATACACTTGTCGTGGCTTGACTGTGTTCTCTTCGTCTTGATGTGTTCNAGTATGAGATAAGACGGAGCGGTCCTCCATTAGTCAACAGATATCAAATTGAAACTCAGAAAGAGGTCGACAAAAGCCAGGCGGCCAATGTTTTCACATGAAGACATTTAATTTGTAAATTTCATCTATGAGTGGAACGCATATTTATTGTTGAAAATTTGACCAGTGGTACATGTTCTTGAATAATATTCTGAATATAACTAACCGAAGTATAACAACGAACATTAATGCACGAAACTACCAAAAGTAGAAAACCTCTTTGCTATGAACAATCTAACAGCTCGCTTAATGCACCTCTGCTGACGACTTAAGTGAGGCAGGGTAGCAACTATGAGCTTCTGGTGGTCACGGGAATGAGCTCAGAGTACAGGAGCAGCTAAAGAAGTTAGTTTACATACCAAATAGTAGTCACAATAAGTGAAATCATGAGGAAATGAATGAAACTCCAGCCCGATAAACGATACCTTAATAATACGACCCCATAGTATTAGGGCACAGAGTGTCAAACCGACTTGAGACGGAGATGAATATGTAGGAAATGAAAATGACCGGATACCAAGAATCATGACTTACATCCGCTTTGGCCGCAAGAACTTTAGAACGGATTTTATTCAATTGCTTCTGGATGATGTCTCTATGGACTTGAGCTTTCTTACGGTTCTCTTTTCCGACAGCACCGGTTGGATTAGTGGCATCTTCGTCTAAAGCGCCTTCTCCGTCATCATCTTCGGTGGGTTGAGGCTTGTCAGAGCGGCCCAATCCGGTAAGAACTTGATACGTCTCTTGGNGTCTCTTGGTGTACGGCGTCCACACGTCCAGCGTAAATTTTTGCCCCAGCATCCAGAGAGGAGCTCGCGATCTATCCAACAATCAAACAAGGTAGACAGAATAAACTTGTTTAGTGTAGACATAATCACAGCAGATCGTAATGCAGTTAAGCGAATTACGAGGACAGCCGTGAAGCTCACGTTGTGCACAAGTCATGAATTCAATGTGGATAGGGAAAGGACCTATTTGACCTTAATCAAGAAAATGAGATACCTACTATCCTTGATTTCTCTGGACAGTTGTTCCTACCACATCTATAAATCAGCTTTGAATTAATAATGTAAAAATTGTTTTCATCCCAGAACAAATGCGAGAAAGGCGCCGTAATCAGAGGCAACAATTGGATGTGGCGAATGGGATACCCAAGTCAAATGGATTACTTCGTTAAAATTCTTTAAGCAGCCTGGCATCTATTTTTGTATATTTGAAGTAGATAGATCGGACGATTCATGGTGTTCGCCGAACTGCTGGCTTCTTTAGTTTAGTTCATCCTAGTCAACTATTAACTCTAATTTTAGTATTCCGATTCAAGTGAGGGTTATTCAATTGGCCCGTCGGTAATACTGAGAAGATACGGATTCAGAAATTGTTCTGTCACCTTCGACCAGGTATCACAAAAATGAAGACAAACAGAACAGCTGAATATCTAGGCGCGACAGGTACCACGTCGCCGCTCAAAATGAAGTAGAATAGCAAATTAAAGACTTCCGGAATACGCAACAAGATAGTATCTTAAATTTATCGAAGGAAATGCAGCCACTTGCGTCACCCAATTTATTAGTCCATTATTACTTACACTAAAAAGAACACTGAAAAAGGTTAACCCATGTCTGAGGCAACGCCTTATTTTGGATGTGGTAAAGTTATCAAAACTTTTACTGATAAACTGTCAATAGTATTTTGTGCGCAATGAGACTTTGGGGTTCAGTTAGTGTTCGGAAGGGCAGCAACGCCAGGTGTTTGTTCATCATTTCCGCATATGCACCAACCAACTGCAGTCCTACTTCACAAAAGAACGAATTTCACGACAAACCCGCCGAACTCATTCGGTTGAGCTGCGGCTGTGATATCACAGTGGTGGCGGGCGATTTCAATGCGCAGTTTGGAAAACCCACCACATCCGAAGCCTATTTGATTAGGGGCACTTCGCTCTTCCCAGACAACGGTGATCGACTACCTCAGTTATGCACGGATCACCGGCTGTTCTTATCTAGCACCGACTTTCGACATAGCTCCTGTCGGACGGCTACATGGTGTTCTGGTTCAACAGGAAAATGGATCACAGCTGTAAGCTACTGTTAGTGTGGTTCAGTACAAAATTGCAGATCCTATTGGACCACCTGCGTTGAGTCGGACCACGCACTAGTTCTGTTACGCTTCACCTTTTGACTCATCGGTCACCTCCTCAGTTAGCTCATCATTGTCTGTGCGATCCATCTCTTTGTGCACGCTAGAAAAAGCTGGGACAGGAGCTAGGAGCACCGCGACATAGTGGAGTAGACCAACAGTGGGATCGAATTACATTTGTAATGCACTCAGCATCAAACCTTGCTGGTGGGATCGAGCCGGAAATTCGCCGAGAACAGTGGAACTCTCAGGGGTCAGTAACCCTGATGGATCAAAAGCGAATGATCCCAATCTGCCAGGATCAGCATAGGAACTGGTGGCACCTGCAACGTCAGCTCAGGAAAAGCCCTAAGAAAGATCGCGAAAATTGGTGGGTCAAAATAGCTAGTGAAATGGACGTGGCTTCTGTACCAGGCAACAATCTCTGACTGTTTCACCTGTTACAAAACACCGGAGGTCGTCATATACCGGTCAGTGCGACCATTTGCGACAAAGATGGACGGAGTACCCAAAATAAAGAACGACTTAATCGCTGGGTTGAGTATTTTAGTGAACGGTTCAATTGATCTGGTGCTAATTGCGACGCCTCCGGCTACCTGAAAGGAAACCTCGGGACAAGTTTTACTAGCGATTAGAAATAATGAGCGATTTAGGTGACGGACTTTCTGGGGCCATCAACGTTATTGTTTGGAGACGATGCAAAAATATGAAGAAACGCGGCAAAACCTGAGGACTCACTGGCGCTTCAGAAAGCATTTAGGGTTATCTATCAATGGTGAATCGAAAATGATATCGAATTCAATGCATCGAAATGTACGGTCGTATCCCTTCGCCACAAAACTCGGTTTCCGTATTTAATCTTTGTACAGCGAAATACAGTGAAGCGAACTTCATTGATCGCTACCAAACTCGCAATGCATGCAAGGTTAGTGGTAATATTTGACGTGGTCAGAAATGGAACCTATTCCGAGGGAAGGGGAAGAAGGCAAACCACTATGGTCAACACACAGAGTACACAGCCCAACTGTGCACGCATACAAATTCAAGCATTTTGAACTGATAAGAAGTGACAGCACGATCGCCATTGCTGTCGGTTCGCAGCCATGACCTTCAGTGTCTCCAACCATGCGGTTTCGGAGTCTTTTGTACTCCAAACCGGAAGAGAGATACCTACTCTACCTGATCATTCTGTGCCTTTCTTCATACCTCGTCTCCACGTCATCTGCTGGCCTCCATATGGCTTTCTCCAGCCTGTAACGGCCACTGCAAACAAGGCGCGTTGCGGTAGGCGACCGTTGGACATAAGCAAAACGTGTCCTAACCAACGAAGCCTAGTGAGCTGGATTCGACGAGATAGGAAGTTCTTGTTCGATACATTCCCAAACACCCAACGACTTACTTCTAAGTTACTAACCCACTCACTCCATCCCACTTAGGCCAGACTACGTGAGCATCGATTGTCGAACACTGCTGAACGACGGGTGTCTTCTACCCGCAAACCCAAGGTCTCACAACCGTAAAGCAGAACTGATCGTACAGTGGCGCAGTATACGAGACTTTTCAACTTTAGTGACACGTCACGTCGCCGCCACATGTGTTTTAGTCCCGCGTACGCTGCTCGAGCCTTGGAAATGCGGGCGGTTATCTCTTTCGATGTGCTACCGTCGTTGGTCACGCAGCTGCCCAAGTACGAGCAGTCAACTTCAGCTAATTC